TTTGCAGCCAGCATGCTGGATTCACCCTGAATGACTAAGGTGTTGGACACTAGTTTGTCTGACTTCTCAATTAAAGCCTGTCTGTCTTGGGTGGCCCATCATCGTAGCACTCAAGCACCTCTGCCACAACAAGGTCAGTGTCCATGGAGAGGACTGATGCCACTAATAAAATAATAATAATAATAATAATAATAATAAAAAAAAAGAAATAATAAAAAATGACCCATTACAAAAAGATCTGTCGCAAAAATTCAGTGCAGAATGAACGCTCCTAGTGGGGAAAGCCCCTTTATAGGCTTTCCACGCTATGACCGCTATGGCAAAGCATGGGAAAGAGTGATCTGATTGGTTGGCTAGTAACCAACCAATGAGAGCACTCTGACAGCAAAGTGTGACTTTTTCCCCTGTTATTTCTCATGCCCTTTCCTAGTGACTAACTGCCCAGTCACTAGTTTAAAAAATAAAAATAAAATATATATATATATATATATATATGGAGGCTCTTTACTAATGTGTTTAGGTTGTTTTTTAATTTATGATGATATCACCACTGTGCGCAGGAAGTGAAGCAGGAGCCTAATTGTTGGATTCTACCTCAGTCCGACCAGAGGTGTGCAAAAATAGGTATTTTTGCATATACTTCAATTAGAAAAATTACATGCCGCAAATGTTTTTAAAAAAATCTGGTGACAGTTGTCCTTTAAAGAAAAGAGTATAAAAAAATGTCACTAAAGTTATCATATAACTCATGGTTTAACCCCATAAGGACCCCGTTCTATATTGTCCTTATCTGGGTGACTCTAAATGCCGCAGGGCGGCATAGAACGTCCCGCCATCCTTAATACTTACCTGGTCGCTGCCGATTCCTGCCAGGGGTCACGATCTTGGGGACTGCCTGGGTACTCACAATCACATGGCTGGAATAGCCAGCTTGTGCAGTGCCTGCAGGGGGACTGTGAGGCAGTCCTCTTAGTGCGTGTAAAATAGTTTTGAAAAGTTAATAAAAGTTTTAAAACACTATTTAAATTAAATACAAAGTACTTATATATGTTCTAAGTACTTTTATATGCACAAACATATACAATTATTAAAAGTGTATTTTAATATGCTTTAAGGCCGTTTGGCCTTTATTTGTGGGAGGGGCTTAAATTAATTCACTCCCCTATATTAGGGACACCCCTTACCTGTCTCATATCGCTTGAGGTCAGCATCAGAATGATTTCCACTTCCGGGTCATCCAGATGCCATTTTACCTGATTACTCCATGAGGTTTTCTAAGCTGAGCTGTGTCAGGAATTCAGCCACAGGCTTTTCCAGCCTTCCACATTCTTTCTTCAATCTATCGCTGTGGATGGTGCCCAAGTGACTCACAAATAGTGATGTCGCGAACCCGAAATTTTCGGTTCGCGAACGGCGAACGCGAACTTCCGCAAATGTTCGCGAACCGGCGAACCGCCCGAAACGCCATTGACTTCAATGGGGAGGCGAATTTTAAAACACACAGGGACTCTTTCTGGCCACAATAGGGATGGAAAAGTTGTTTCAAGGGGACTAACACCTGACTGTGGCATGCCGGAGGGGATCCATGGCAAAACTCCCATGGAAAATTACACAGTTGATACAAGTCTGGTTTTGAAATCCATAAAGGGCAGAAATCACCTAACATTCTAAATCACAATCAATATGGATTGACACCTGACATATGACATGTTGACACCTTGACATATGGATTGACACCTGTCCACCTCAGAGCCCCTGATGCACACGGACACGACAGAATAGAGATTGGTCCCCCTACATACGAGGTCACTTGGCAGATATGGATTGACACCTGTCAGGATCCCTGATACACACTGACACAGAGCAGAATAGGGACTGTTCCCCTACATGGGTCACTTGGCAGATATGGATTGACACCTTGTTGCAAACTGCTATTTGTAACGGGCCCTTTAAATGGCAAATTGCCCTGTTTCCCTGGGTTGTGGAGAAGCCTCTTTGCCAGCCTCCTCCCGCATGACTATGGCCCCTGGGAGATTGTGAAAATGTATGCACTTTTATTTGGTGTGTATGGCCCTTTAAGGCTGTCGGTGGGCATATTGGGGCTTATGGACTCTTTATGTGACTGGTGCTGGCCCTTTAAACACCTTTTTTGGGACATCAGGAAGATTGGGACACTGCCCCTTTAAGGCCGTGTCCCCCAGACTTGTTGGGGACACGGCCCCTTTAAGACGGTGTCCCCTGTGTCCCCAGACCTGGTGCAAACCCTTTGTGCCTGCTTTGCTATTTCCCACTTGGTTCAGTAAATGGGAAATTATTTCAGCTGCAGAGACTA